TAATGAATCCCAGGAAATCAATGAAAAGTTTAATTACAGTTGTGGCAGTTCCGTATGAGAATATTGCTGTGGTCAATTTTACTTGTACAGTGTATCAATCCTTTCTGCTTTTCTCTTTTCTTTTAATTAATTGCCTCGACAAAGCAGGTATAAACACATTCTTTGTTAGGGTCTCATGTTTTGTCAGAAACGTGTTACCAAATACAAATGTCCTCTTCTCTAATAGCAATAATAGTCCCTATCACTTTGTAATGTGCGTTACCATTTACGATTCGTACGTCAGGCAGCCTTCCTGCTTGTGAATTGAGTCACTGTTCTGTCTCAAGGACACAGTCCTTTCCCTTCGGCAGTTTTTTGCAAACCACCTTTCGTCTCTTCTCTACTTATACGTCAAAGATTTCATGGGCTTCCTCTGTCGTTCATCACTCAGTCAAGCTCCAAGGCCAAGAAAAACAGGAGACTTTCTCCTCTGAATTATCTGTCTTCATGTAGCTACACACCCTCTTTGGGTTTCAACAAAGCAAATTTTCTTTTCACAGCGTTTTTCTTTTGACAGTTCAGTGATTACGGGGCGCTCTTGCCCACTGGGGTGGATATGGCTTGTTCATTTTTAGTTGCCTGTAAAACACAATACAAAACGTCAGTGTGGATACTTAGAGACGGCTAAAGTGGTATCGGTGACCCTAGATTTTACTAATTATGTTTTGAGAAAGTTACTGTGGATTTTCTAAGCTCTTTTAATTACCATGGTTGCTGAGCCTGCTTTTGGTTAAAGGTTCAAGGCCTTAACACTGAGTTAAGAATGGTATCAAACGATTGACTCCGTGGATGCAAAAAATTTACTTGGTTCATTTTGAGAGGGAAAGCCCCGTGGTCTCTATTCCCTCCAGTCTTCCCACTGCCACAGTCAAGCTGTCTTGCTGGTGGACCGGTTGAGAAGTAGCCTGGGTGTTCTAGACCTTGCCTCCAGTCCTGGCTGGTCACCACAGCCGGTGATGGGCGAGGAGTCCCCTAACCCTCTCCAGAGCCTTTGAGTTGTGCAGAAAGCAAGGGGACACTCGGTCTTGGACATGGGACTGTCCACGAGGCTTTGTGGTCGATGGGTGACATCCACAAGAATCCTCCTCAAAGAAGGGAGCTATTTTGAGTTATTGTGAAAGGAGCAAAGGAGTTCCGTTTGCTCTGAGAAAACTGCCCTTTGTGGTAGTCGTTATGCACACGCAGGTATATGGCTAAATGGTCCGTTAGATGAGAAGCCATTCTTCCCCTGTTGCACGTGGGTAGAAGGACCCTTTGCAGCTTGCCCCTGCAGCTACTGTGTTCAAGCCTGGAGTCCCTGGGGCTTTTCCTGGAGTCTCCAGGCAGCTGTTGGCGATGCTCACGTGAGATTCTTATGCCCTGACTTGTAGCACCACGTGGGGCCCGGGCTGGGCCCGCGGAGCAGAGGAGGGGAGAGGGGACAGTGCGCGCTGTCTGGCCTCAGCCAGGCCCTTTTCCCTTCTTTCCCTTCAGCTCCTGAGCTGCTGCTTGTCCTTCTTTGTAACCTTCATCCAAACCTGTGTTCTCCCCGCTGGACTCGCTCTGCTGGCCGACTAACGCTGTGCACCTGTCCTGCGTCCTGGAGGTTAAATCCTCTCCCAGGAGATCCAGATGCAGACCACATCTGGGGACCACGTTGTTAAAGGAGGGACCTCTTTGCCAAAGGACATGTTCGCTCCAGACTTTGGGTTCAGGGAGCCCATCTCCGCACGTGTACGATACTCACCTTTGCATATGCTGTAAGCCCAGTCAGAGAAATGAGGCAACACCCAGGGTCTAGATATTAGGGGCTTGTCCACATGGTACAATAACAGAGTTTCTAAATGTTGCTGATAAAACTCAGCTGAAGGACATGCCAACCAATCCGTGATCATTAGGGGTAATTATCACTTTCGGTGGCATTTTTTGTTTAAATCAGTGGTGGTGCCTCTCGCACTGTTTCCTATGGGCCCCCCACCCCTCCCCCACCCCGCGACACCTCGACCTCGTCCTCCTGACTGCTGTCTCCCGTTGTTCTTTGTCTGTGTCTGTCACTACTTCCTTTCCCCCACCTCTGAAGTTCTGACCGTTTGATACGCTTCTTCACTGCACCTACTGTCCATTGAGGACCTCATCCATTGCCCTCGGGCTCAGCCCTGGTCTCTGGGCAGGTCACTCCAGAGCCCTGTGTTTCCCTCCTGCCTCCCAGTCCCTTTGCTGAGCCCCGGCTTCGCAGTGCACGTGCTCTCTGTGCATTTCCACGCAGCTGTCGCGTGGTCCCACGCAGATAATGTCGTGTGGTCCAGCACATTTTCCTGAGGCCCGCCAGCTGCATCACCCTCCCCAGATGTACTTCTCCCTGCCGCTGTGCTCATCCTTCTCCACGTCACCCCGTGCAGCACCTCACCTCTGATCCTTTTTTGTTGTTACTTTTTTTGTTTTTTCTGTTTCTCACAATGATCAAGTCCTAAGAATTGACCAGTCACAATATCCCTTGTATCGATTTGAGTCCCGTGCTTACTACCTTATTCAGAGTGGATTAATAGTATAGGCTTGGGGCACCTGAGTGGCTCCGTAGGTTAAGCATCTGACTCTTGATTTCGGCTCAGGTCTTGATCTCAAGATTTGTGGGTTTGAGCCCCATCTCAGGCTCCGCGCTGACAGCACAGAGCCTGCTTAGGATGCTCTGTCTCCCTCTCCCTCTCTGCCCCTCTCCTGCTCGTGCTCTCTCTCTCTCTCTCTCTCACTCAAAATAAATAAATAAACTTTAAAAAAGTCAACAACAGTACAGCCTCTGAAGTTGTTTTCCTGAGAAACTCTCTGCCTGTTGCAAATCACGGTGCCTGTTGCTTCCAGGCTGGCCTCCAGTGATGCGTCACTGCCTTGCACGGGGCCGTCAGGTCCACTGCCAACCGCACGGCACATGAACTCCTCCGCCTGCGCTTCTGCGTGCGGTGTGGCCGCCTGCGCGCCTCCTCCCGCCTCTGCTCCTCCTGTGTACCTCGCCCATGAAGCTGTGAAAACTCTGGCAGCAGTGAACCCCGCCGTCAGGGCTCCCGCCTGGGGGGTTTCCGGCGAGGGCCTGCCGTGGGCGAGATGAGCAGGGACGTCCTCCCTAAGAAGTGAGATTTGAGACGAGATCTGAAGGACGGGAAAGGGTGGACCGCGGGAGGAGCAGGGGACACAAAAGCACAGGGACCCGAAACCTGGCCTTCCTGATGGAGAGCAGTGAGTGGGCTAGAGAGAGGTACATACAGGACACGCGTACACACGCACGCACACACGCACACACACGGCAGAGGAAAGAGTTTGCCTTCTAGTCCGGGTGTAGCATCAAGGGGCTTTCTTTTTTTTTTTTTTAGATACGTATTTATCTTGGGAGAGAGCGTGCACACGCGTGTGCATGAGCAGGGGAGGGGCAGAGAGAGGGAAGAGAGAGCCCCAAGTACGGTCCACACTCAGTGGCGCAGCCCAGACGCGGGGCTCAGTCCCACAAACCGTGAGTCCATGACCCTAGCTGAAATCGAAAGTCGGAGGCTTAACCGACTGAGCCACCCAGGTGCCCTCGGGGACTTTCTAAGCAGGGAGATATGATCTGTTTATACTCATAAAATCTCATTTGGGAGAGGGGACAAGGCGGAAACAAGGAGGCCCCGTGGGGGACAGGCTCTTGCCCTTGTCCCCACAAGATAGTAGCTTGGACCCGATTACATGTTTCTTAACCTCAGCAGTATTGACATTTGGGCCAGAACATTCTTTGCTGTGGGGGCTGCTCTATGCGCCGCAGGACGTTTAGAGCCATCCCTGGCCTCCGTCCACTGGAGGACAGCATTATGTGCTCCCCTCCAGTGTGACGGCCACATGCGTCTGCAGGTACTACCAGATGTCCCCTGGGGGCAGAGCCACCCCCGTGTTGTGAATCAGCGGGCTTGACCGGTGGCAGTGGAGATGGATTTAATGGACAGTACTTGGCAGTGAATGGGATGCAAAGCAGGGCGGGCGAGACCCAGTAATGCTTCCTACCTGTTTGGTCTGCAATCCAGGCAGACCTGTCACACTGCTTCAGACTCTGGACATCTGTCTTGCTTGCCTTTGTGTCTGTCCTTGGAAGTATCCAACCACCTGTGATGTCTCCCACCCTACGCCCTCCGCCTCCGCCTACCTCCCCTCCCGAAGGCCCAGCTTACATGCTGTATTTTGAAGTCTTCTCCCATCAGCCCACCGCTGGTGACCCTTTTTCCTGGGTCAGTACCAGTTCTCTGGATCGGTTTCCTGGATCAGTACCAGTTTCCTGTACCAATTTCCTGGATCAGTACCAGTTCCCTGGATCAGTTTCCTGGATCGTGCCACTCCTAGGCGCTTTCTGGCCCAGCGGCTCTATAAGCCCCCAGGACAGAAGGACCAGCATCTAATGGGAGGAGCAGCCTTAGTGGGTGCTTGCAGGATGCGGCTTTGCGTCTGCACCTCGCCACTTCCCTCGGTTCCCATGGGGGCTGCAGGATTCTCATCTCCCCCTGGCCACCCTCTAACCATGTTCTGGGCCCCAGAACCCGTCTGGAGCTTGTCACGGAATTGGGACTCCTAGTGTGTGTGTTACTGACACGTATCTGTCATCTCCCTGCCACATAGTGTCCCCGACAGCAGGAATGAGACCTTACGGACCTTTATCCCATGCTCTGCCTGGTGCACAGCACAGTGCCGACCAGGGACTAGGTATTCAGCAAGGGTTTGTTGGGTGAAGAAGGGAACACTGATTTTTTTTTACTCTTGAGTATAATGGAGTTAAAGGAAAATTAGCATTTTTCTGATAATGAGCACATAGAATGTTTAGAATCTGAAAAAAATTTTTTAATGAGCAAGGATTAGCCCAGTCGTTTGCGTCACTGATGAAACCGATGGGTTTGCGTGGAAGGGGCCGCCTTTGGGCACTGACAGTCCTGAGTCTGCATGGGTGACGCATCTGCTCTGTTTCTCTGTTGCAGCTCTCGTTGTCAGCACCACCTCAGCTGGATTTGCGCTGGCCCCAGGACCTTTTGACTTGCCCTGTTTCCTCCTCACTTTTGTGGGCACAGGCCTTGCATCCTGTGCTGCCAACTCCATCAACCAGGTCAGTCAGTCACTTTTCAGCGCGATTGTGGTGTTACCGCTTCCTCCTAGGCGGTGGTATCGTCACGCTTTTAAAAACAACTTCCCAAACCACGTATAGAGACGGAGAGGTCCCGAGAGCTTGTGACCCCACGTGTCGTACGTGGGTCTGGGGCTTACGGAGCCCGTCTGGCTCTTGTGCAGTGAACGGTTTTTGGGCGAGAGGGCAGGCATGCACCGGCTCCTAACGGCCAGGCACCCTTGGGTGGGAAGGGGTTTAGAGCGGTTTGCCCAGCATTCTGCTCTCTCCATTCCAGGCATGTTCCTCCGAGCTTATCATTGTCTGTGTTCTTCTTTCTTTGGTTTGATTTCTTTGCATGTGTTTATATATACAACGTGTTTTATATTTTATTTCTTTATTTTTTGGAGTTTGTTTTGATAGATACAGAGACAGCACAAGTGGGGCAGGGGCAGAGAGCGAGGGAGGGAGAGAGAGAATCCCAAGCAGGCTTCGCACCGTCATCACCGAGCCTGATGTGGGGCTGGAATTCATGAACCGTGAGATCGTGACCTGAACCGAAACCAAGAGTCGGATGCTTAACCGACTGAGCCACCCAGGCACCCTTGAATTTTATATTTTAGACAAGCGTATCCAGCTTCAAAAAAACAAAACAAAACAGTAATTCAGTATTCAGTAAACTTGGTGTAGAGAATCAGAATATATTTTAAAACATAATTAGCATATTATTTTTAATGCAGCATTTTGTCCCCGTTATTTTAAATATCAAAATATCTGAAATAGTTATTTCCTCCCCCCACCCCCAGTCTGGTCACTGTGGTGTGCGCCCCAGCATGCATCTCTTTCATCTGATACCAGAGTGAAGAAGTCTTGGCTGAAACGTAAGGAAGGTCGTTCTCATCCCCAGAACACCCAAGCGAAGTTGGCACAGTTCTAAAACAGGAAGTCACGTGACCAGTAGGAAAACAGCGTGGCTGAGCGGGTGTATAAGTCTGTATCCTGCAAAATACGGGAATTTTAACTTGAGAATGCCTCGGATCATTATGCTTTTATGACGTGTTACCAGCTGTTTGGGGAGGGATCAGTCTATTTCAAACTAGGTTTATTTTTTGTTGTTGTTACTTTTTTTAATGTGGAAATAGCCTCATGGGGCGGGCGGTCCAGATACTCCTGATGCTTTTCTGAAAGTGTCGTCCCGCCTGCAGACCACGGCCCGGCTCTTCCAAGCCGTTTGTCTGCTCCCGGCCCCCGCCGCCTGGCTAGCAGCATGATCATGGGGTCACCACGAGCATGTTTCTCATGGAATTTTGAATAGAAAGCAATTTAGGCAAAATGGATTTGTGTTGCTATTTTGAGTCTACATTTCAAAATATTCCTTAAATCGTGACTTCTGTTTAGTTATAAATCTAGGTCATAAGATGAAGCCAGGAATACGTTCCAGTTTTCAGGCTCCATTTTTCAGTTGAAGAGCTGCACGTATCCTTGAGATCCTAACCGCTGTCTCCTTTTTAAATAAAATTAAAAATGCAAGTGCAGACCCTCAGAAAATCTACAACAACTAGCTGCTAGGCATCAAATGGTTCTGAAATCCCAAAACAGTATGAAAAATACTTGAGTTGCCTTGAGTTTGAGCTGCCCGACTCCTCCTGTCCCCCTGCCCAAAAACAAAGGCGGTTCAAGAATTTATTATGGAAAAAATAAAAAAAGACTCGATTGTAGCAAGAAAATATCTGGAGGGCGAAAAAATAAATTTTTTACATTGAGGCAGAAGTTTCCAGAAACTGAACATAAACCAAAGTTTTAGAAACTTTAAATGAGTTTAGAGGGCTGCTTTGTTTTGTCGTCCATAGGGAAGTGAGCTAGACTCTGTCATTTCTAAACTACTGAGAAGAACCAGACTGTACACAGGGATCCTTTCTGGTTTTGTTTTGTTTTTTTAATTTTTTTTAGTGTTTTATTTATTTCTGAGAGAGAGAGAGAGATGGTGTGAGTAGGGGAGGGTCAGAAAGAGAGGGAGACACAGAATCCGAAGCAGGCTCCAGGCTCTGAGCTGTCAGCACAGAGCCCGACACGGGGCTCGAACCCACAAACCATGAGATCATGACCTGAGCCGAAGTCGGACGCTCAACTGACTGAGCCACCCAGATGCTTCCGCTAACCACTTTTCTACTCACTGACTTTCTAATATGCAGTGTTGGTGATGGCACTTTACACGGTGCCAAAGAGAAGCATAATAAGGTGATTTAAAACAAACACACAAAAGAACTCTGGGAAGAAATTTCCCTGTACTTAAATAACATACTTTCTTTGATTTTAATGGTTTAATTTTAAAAACTACGTATCTTTTAACACACAGTTTTAGTAATCTATCTAAAGGAATAGTTAAGGACGTGTTCAGTAATTTAGCTATAAGAATTTCAGCTCACCATTGTTTACATGGGCTGAAGACTGGAAATTCCTGAAATATCAACTAAGGAGAAACTGATTAAAGAAATCACAGTATATTTATAAACAGTCATGTTATCAGCAAATATTGACATAGGAAAGTGTTCACGGCATACTACTTAAAGGAGAAAATATATAGAAGCGAGATGTGTTATACATGTAAATCATTTCTGTGAGAAGTTTTATGGATGTGAAGATCGTGTGTATGTAAAACAAAAAAGTCTATAATAGTACACATCAAAATGTTAGCCGATGAGTCTACTTGGGAGGTGGGACATAAAAGCGCCACAGAGCCAGAGGTTTCCATTTATTCTCTGCCTTAACACTAAAGCACAGAGAGTCTGGCACCAGGGAAAGATAAAATAAAAAACATTACTGTTACTTGTGCTTATTTATATTTTCTCGCTCATCTGCAATGAGAAACATAATTTGCGTAACACATTTTTTAAAAATGCTGCTTTTACAAAGGATAACTCGGTGGGGAAACAGAATGTTGAAATGGCACTAATGTCCCCTACCTCACAGGGTAGTAAGTAAGGTTCAAATAGTAATTTATGGGGCACCAGGTGGCTCAGTCAGTTAAGCATCTGATTTTGGCTCAGGTCACGAGCTCTTGGTTGATGGGCTTGAGCCCCATGTCATGCTCTGTGCTGACAGCTTGAAGCCTGGAGCCTGTTTCAGATTCTGTGCCTCCCTCTCTCTTGGCCCATCCCCTGCTCGTGCTCTGTTTTTTCTCTCTCTCAAAAATAAACATTAAAAAAATAATAATTTGTGTACGGGTGCCTGGGTGGCTCAGTCTGTTAGGCGTCGACTCCTGCTTTTGGCTCAGGTCATGGTCTCACAGTTCCGTATATTCGAGCCCCATGTCAGGCTCTGCAGCGACACATTATAAATAAGTAAGCTTCAAAGGTAATCATAATAAAATAATAATTTATGTAAATATGCTTTGTAAGCTCCACAGCAGTGTACAAATGTCAACGGTTAGACCATATACATTCCAACTTAAACCAGTCTCATACATGCCTTGGCTGGTAGCCCCAATCTCATTAAGGACGCTTCCTCCACTTCACCATTTTTTTTTTTTATGTTTCATTTATTTCTGCGAGAGAGTGAGAGAGACCGCGTGACCAGGGGAGGTCAGAGAGTGAGGGAGACACAGAATCTGAATCAGGCTCCAGGCTCTGAGCTGTCAGCACAGAGCCCGACACAGGGCTCGATCCGTGAGATCATGACCTGAGCTGAAGTCAGCCGCTTAATCGACTGAGCCACCCAGGCACCCAATCTATTTCACCCTTTAAAAACAGTAAGAGACAGGGCACCTGGGTGGCTCAGTCGGTTAAGTGTCTGACCCTTGATTTGTGCTCAGGTCATGATCTCACGGTTTGTGGGTCCCAACCCTGTGTCAGGCTCTGCGCTCACGGTGTGAAGCCTGCTTCTCTCTCCCCTCCACAGCTCGTGTGTTCTCTCACTCTTTCTCTCCCTCTCTGAATGAATGAATAAATAAATAAATAAATACAAAAATGATTAGAGACGCATGCATTGCAGTTATAGAAACAGCACAGAAGCGGTTAAGAGAATGGGAGCCCATCCATTGGAGGAAAGACAGGTCACCAGGAGAGTGCATCCTGTGGCAGCGTACCTACTGACATCCGCTCTTTACCTCTATTTAAATAAAAAAATCATATCTTTGTAACAGAAGTGAAATAACCCAAATGCACTTCATTGTAACAATATCTACTGTGTCAAACACCCAATTACACTAATAATTTCCTGACAGTTCTTATTCAGTTTCTTAATTCTTTCCTCTTGGATGTATTCAGCTTTGCACTTCTGAGTCACTTGTTTCTCAAGATGCAATCAGTCAAAGCCATTCATCACGTTTTATCTTTCAGTTGCTACATTTTATGGACGGCTTTCATCCTTTGAAGGCATCCTTGCTTTAAGGCCTAGCTATGGTTTCAAATGAAGCATGTGTATATTTTACAAAACGTGGATGTAATTCCGTCTTACATTTTAATGTTAGTGGTTTCTCATATGTATATATCTCTTTATGCGCTAGTCATTACTTCATAAATCAGAAGCTGAAGTTCATTTCACTCCCTACAACAAATGTAGGAATTGTTTTCCAAAGCTGTACTTTTCCGACTTTCACAGAGAGATCACAGAAGTAGAGTACAAAGAAGAAACACTCAGAACTAAATTAATAACAGCTAAAAGAAGGATTTAAAAAATATGAAATGTTATTTGAATCCTTTTATAAACATGGACAGAAAGAAATTTTTTTCGCCCACAGAACTCTTATTAGAGGCTGAAAACTTTTATATATACCAACCACATATATGCATTCTTTAAGTTGAACGCCAGCTGCCCCCCCCCCCAAAAAAAGCAGTAAGCTCTTGCCTTTCACCAACAACTATTCCTTTTCTACCTGCTATTCCAAAACTCCGTTACAGCTTTGCTGCCTAGTGCTCTCCATTCTGCTTACACTAATTAAAAGCACTAATGAAAATGTTTTCACATTCCGTTGTTTTAATATTATGAGACTGCTTAGCAATACT